ACCATTTGGAGAATCACTTAGGCATTCCTCAGAGGGTTCTAAGACATATTAGTGTGATTCTTTTAAAACGATGTGTTTTAGAAACCATGTTAAAATGAGACATTATCTAAAAAACCTGTTACATTATTTAGTATGTAAGATGATAATCACATCTAAAATATAGTGCTCAAATTTCTGAAAGCTCATAAGTTTACCTCTTCACTCATAACTTCTCAAGAGAAAAAGAATTCTTTTCTTTGACTCGTAGGTCCTGCCTTCATTAAACAATTGTTCCAGGATCTAAGACTTAGCTCTAGAAAAGACCTTCATGATCTCTGCTTTGTGACATGTTAAATTTTGGGGGCAGTGATAGAATGGCCCCAGAGGATAATGAAGGATCTTCTTCTTGTTTATGTTGTCTACAGTTTCCCACCAACTAGACCTTTGGCCTTCCATTTGCAGTGCTGGTCTTCATGCTCCCCTTGAATTTTCCAGAGGTTTAGTCCAGTTTTAGAAATGTCACACTAAAATAGTTAGGGCTATTATTTCTGTATACATTTATTCTGCATGTCAAGGCCGAGTATACCAATCATTTTTACTCTCAAACTTGGCAAAGCAGTTGTGGCGGTGTTACAAACATGTGATACTTGAAGATGAAAATTATCCTGGTACTTCTGTACGTGAGGCAATTTCTCAGAGATTTTTTTTTTTTAATTATTTTGTATTTACAAAAAAGTTGCAGAGATAGTACAGAGACTCTCTGCATATTTGGCACCCAGTTTTTCCTACCATTATCATCTTATGTTGTCATGGTACATTTGTTAGTGCTAAGAACCCAACATCACTACCTTACTGTCGACTAAACTCTAGACTTTATTCGGCTTTCCCCAATGTTTCCACTAATATACCTTTTCTGTTCTGGAATCCAATCCAGGAGATTATATTACATTTAGTCCTTATGTCTCTTTAGTGAACTTGGGTCTGTGACAGTTTTCACTTTCTTTGTTATCCTTGATTGTTCTTGAAGAGTATTGGTCAAGTACTCTTGTTTCTTGGTTTTTAGAAGTCTGTTTTCTATAAATAGAGTAGTTTTATAAGGGAGTGTAATACATATATACTTTTCCTCATATACATAAAAACCTTTACTCTTCCTTATATTAACAATGCCTTTTTCTTCTTTTCTTCCTCATAAAGAAAAACCTCCAAAAATAATATTAGAAATGGTGACTCTAAATCCAAGCCTGTTGCTTCTGTGGTTTCTGAAAAGGCTGAATCAAATCATGAAGTAATTCCTTCCCAACCACACTCTTCTGAGGGTTCCAAGACACATGTAATGGTATGTTTCTTTTTAAAGGGTATGTGTTTTAGAAACTGTGTTAAAATAATAGGTTATCTAAACAAGTTATTTTATATGAAATGATTAGACTTTGCTAGAGATTCTGTTGTGTGGTTAATCGTGTATTGTAAAGAAAGAATACCGGTGAAAGTGATCCATTTAGCCTACTTTATCCAAACTGTTCATGAAGTCAGTGCTGTAATAACTTTATTCTAAGAACTTCTTTTATTGAGGTGAAATTTATATAACATAAAGTTAACCATTTTAAAGTAGACAATTAATTGCATTCAGTACATTCACAGTGTTGTGCAACCATCACTTCTGTTTAGTTTCAAAACATTTTCACATCACCCCAAAAGGAAACCCCCCCGTACTCATTAAGTAGTTATCCTCATTCCCACCCAGCGCCTGGGAACCACCAATGTGTTTTCCGTCTCTATGGATTTGCCTATTCTAGATATTTCATATAAATGGAATCATACAATATGTGAGCTTTCGTGTCTTGCCTTCTTTCACTTAGCATAATGTTTATGAGGTTCATCCACCTAGCATGTATCAATTCTTCATTTATTTTTATATATGAATAATATCCCATTGTATTCACTGGTGGACATTGACTTGTTTTCATCTTTTGACTCTTGCTGTGATCATTTGTGTACAAGTATTTGTTTGAGTACCTTTTTTCAGTTCTTTTGGGTATATACCTAGGAATAGAATTGCTGGGTCATATGTTAATTCTATCTTTAACTTTTTAAGGAACTACCACGCTGTTTTCCGTAGCAGTTACACTATTTTACATTTCTACCAGCAATCCACGAGAGTTCCAATTTCTTCACAACCTTGCCAACTCTTGTTATTTCTGTTTTTCTGATTCTAGCCATCTTAGTGAATATGAAGTAGTATCTCATTATAGCTTTTCTTTGCAATTCTCTAATGACTAATGTCACAGAGCATCTTTTCATAAGCTTGTTGGTCATTTGTATGCCTTCTTTGGAGAAATGTCTACTAAAGTGTCCTTTGCCCATTTTTTAATTGTTTTTGGTCATTAAGTTCTAAGAGTTCTTTCTATCTTCTGGATATTACAGGCTTTTTTAAAATGTGCTTTTGATTTACAACCATTTCCTCCCATTCTGTAGGTTATCTTTTCATTTTCTTGATGCCTTTTTATACACGAAAGTTTTTGATTTTGATGAAGCACAGTTTATAATTTTTTTTCTTTTGTTGCTCATGTTTGGTGTCATATCTAAGAATTGCTTGCCGAATCCAAGATCATGAAGACGTATCCCTGTGTTTTCTTTTAGAAGTTTTATAATTTTAGCTCTTATATTTAGGTTTTTGGTCCATTAAAAATTTTTTTTATTGTGGAAAAATATATATACCATAAAATTTGCCATTTCAACCATTTTTAAGTGTTCGATTTAGTGACCTTAATTATATACACAGTGTTGTACAACCATCACCACTATCTTCCAAAACCCTTTCATCATTCCAAGCAAAAACTCTGTACCTATTAAGCAATAACTCCCCATTTTTCCTACTCCCAAGCCTTGGTAACCTCTAATCTACTTTCTGCCTCTATGAATTTGCCTATTCTGGATATTTTATGTAAGTGGAACCATACAATATTTATCCTTTTGTATCTGACTTGTTTCACTTAGCATGTTTTCAAAGTCTATCCATGTGCCAGAATTTCATTTCTTTCTATGGCTTTATAATATTCCACTGTATGTATACCTCATTTTGTTTATCTATTCATTTGCTAATAGACATTTGGGTTGTTTCTACCTTTTGGCTCTTGTGAATAATGCTGCTATAAACATTGGTGCACAAATACTTGTTCGAGTCCCTACTTTCTGCCCTTTGGGGTGGGAGTGGGATTTCTGGGTCACATGGTAATTTTGTGTTTTAACTTTCTGAGGAACCTATTGTTCCATTTTGAGTTAAATTTTTTATATGGCGTAAGGAGTGCTGTTATAACTTGGAAGCATGTTTTCACTCAGGGTGAAGACAAAGGTTTATCCCAGGAGAAACACATAGACATTGGTCCTTTGAAGACACCTGCAAGTCTGAAAGGCCATACCTGCAAACCAGACATGAGCAGTGCCACAGAGTCACTAGCCACAATCAGTAGAGTGAATATTGACATCTTACCTGCAGAAAGGGACTTGAGTGATGGCTTAGTTCAAGAAAGTGAGCCAAGACACACAGATGCCTCTAATGAGCTAGAAGGTAAATGCAATATTTCTCAAAAGAAGGAGAGGCTGCAGGATAACACTAAGTCCAGCACTCAACCTGAAAACCTGATTCCTACATGGTCCTCTGACGATGTCACTGCGGAAAGAAATGACCCAGTAAAGCCTCTACAACCCCTAAACGACCAAAAGCCTAAGGATCAGGTAAGTGATATGCATGAGTTGTTGGTTTCAGAGGGAAGACTGGTAAGTGCAGTTACAAAAGAGTGGGTTGTGTTATTTGGTTGTGCTCTAGTTGTTTTAGGAAAATCAGCTGTTACGTGTACATTTAAAAATAATAGAAACCAAAGGATGAGACCCAAGGAATTCTTAGATCCCTTCTGTGCCCTGGCATAGGGTACTTGGTGGAAGCATGCTATTTGTATGTTTTTTTCCCATTTCTACATCACTCTTCCTTAATTTTCCAAATGATGGATGGTTCCAACATTTAGATAATATCACATTCCTTCTTGCTTTTGAAAAGTTAGTGGATTTATCTGATTTCTTAAGTTCAGGAATAAACTTTTTATGCATGTTATAGCATGTACCAGTATTTCATTCCTTTTTATTGCCAATAAAATTCTACTATATGTATTGGAACCAAAGAGAAAGAAGACGAAAAAGGAAAGGGACAAAAGAATTTTGATACTGAGAGACTGAGTAAATTTAATAATTATCTTCTACTTGAACTTGGAAAGAAGCCTAAATTAAATGAAGCATGGTGATAACTGAGCATTAGAGTGAAAGCCAGAATGTGATTATGTTTTTATGTGTAAAATATTTTAAAAATATATTTAACAAGATATATTGACTATTTTTATGATCTGTATATATTCAAATTTGATATATTACATGTTTTATTTAGCATCATCTTTTATATAAACATATTAAAACTACTTTATACATTTACATTCAAATGTCTTTAATGAAATTTTTGTTTTTATGGAAAAGTACAAGTATAATGCTCTTGTCATTTAAAGTCATTAGATTGAAACCAAAATATATTCTAAGCTTTCTTTAGACACAGGAATCCTTAGTACTTATAGATAAAATTATATGTGCGCTGTTTGTTCTGCTTGGCTGTCAAATTAATTTCAATTTTACTTCTTTTATTTTTTTCATTAAAAAAATTTTAAGTACAGATTTAGTGGTTTTTAGTATATTCATAAACTTCTGCAATCATCACTAGTGTCTAATTCCAGAACATTTACGTCACTTCAAAAATAAACCCCATACCCAATGATAGTCACTCTCTCTTTCTCCTTGCCCCCAGCAGCCAGCACCTGTTGTCTATATGGATATGCCTATTCTGAGCATTTTATATAAATAAAATCATACAATATATGGCCTTTTGTGTCTGGCTTTTCTTACTTAGTGTAATGTTTTTTAATGTTTATGCATGTTGTAGCATGTACCAGTATTTCATTCCTTTTTATTGCCAATAAAATTCTACTCTATGTATGTATATACCATATTTTATTTATCTATTCATCAGTCGATGAACATTTGGGTTTTCACTTTTTGCCTACTATGGATAATGCTCCTATGAACATTCTTGTACAGACTTTTGTGTGGACATGTTTTCAGTTCTCTTGGATATATACCTAGAAGTGGAATTGCTTGGTCTTATGGTAACTCCATGTTTAACTTTTCAAGGAATTGCAAAGCTGTTTTCCAAAGCGAGTATATCTTTTTACTTCCCACCAGCAATGTATGAGTTGTAATTTCTCTACTTCTTTACACTTGTTATTTTTCTTTTTTCGTTCTTTCTTTTTTCTTTTCTTTCTTTCTTTTCTTTTTTTTTTTTGATTCTAGCTATCCTGGTAGGTGTGAAGTGATATCTTATTGTGGTTTTGATTTGCATCTCCCTCATGACTAAAGATGTTGAGCATCTTTTCATGTGCTTGTTGGCCATTGGTGTACCTGCTTTGGAGAAATATCTATTCAGATTCTTTGCCCATTTTAGGTTGGTTTATCTTTGTATTGTTGAGTTTTAAGAGTTCTTTACTCTAGATGTTAGTCCCTTAGCAGATACAAGATTTGAAAATATTGTCTCATTCTGTGGGTTGTCTTTTTACTTTATTCATGGTGTTCTTTGAAGCATAAAAGTTTTTAGTTTTGACAAAATCCATTTTTTTCTTTTGTTTCTTGTGCTTTTGGTGTCATGAAAAGTTATTTCTGTGTTGTCCTCTAAGAGTTTATAGTTTTAGTTCTGCAGGTCTATGACTCATTTTGAGTTAATTTTTGTGTGTGGTCTGAAGAAGGGGTGCAACTTCATTATTTTGTATGCAAATATCCAGTTATCCCAGCACCATTTGTTAAAAGATTATTCTTTCTCCTTTGAATTATCATTCTTGGTGAAAATCAGTAGATCATACATATAATGTTTATTTCTAGACTCTCAGTTCTCTCCCACTGATTTAAGGGTTTATCCTTATGTCTGTAACATATTGTCTGAATTATTGTAGCAAGTTTTGGAATTGGGAAGTTTGAGTCTTCCAACTTTATTCGTATTTTTCAACATTGTTTTGGCTATTTTGGGTCTTTTGCATTTCCATATGAATTTTAAGATCAGCTTGTCAATTGATGTAAAAAAAAAAAAAAAGGCTGGAATTTGACAGGATATTGCTATTATAATATACATCTTCCAACCCATGAACATGGGACGTCTTTCAATTTATTTAGGTGTTTAATTTCTTATAATGATATTTTGTTGTGTTTAGTGTATAAGCCTTGAACTTGTTTTGTTAAATTTATTTCTAAGTTTTTTTCCCTTTTGATACTGTTATAAATGGAATTTTCTTAATTTCATTTTCTTAGTGTTCATTGCTTATGTATAGAAATACAGTTGATTTTTGTATATTGATCTTGTATCCTAATAGCCTTGCTGAACTCATTTATTGGTTCTAATAATTTTTTTTATAGTGGACCCCTTAGGATTTTCTGTATATAAGATCATGTCATCTGTAAATAGAGGTAGTATAACTTCTACCTTCCAATGTGGATTGCTTTATTTCTTTTTCTTGCTTAATTGCCCTGACTAGAATCTCTATTCAACAGTGTTGAATAGAAGTGTTGAGAGTGAACGTCCTTGTCTTGTTCCTGATCAAATTAATTTCTTATATCATGCTTTTAGAGCAGATTTTTTGTTTAATAGAATTTTATATCCAGCATTTCCTTTTGTTATGTTGTTATTGTATTTAAAAGTGGAAGAACTTTTTTTAGGACCAGTTGGATTTCATGGAGAAATTCCCTAAGTCATTTGTTCTGTCACTCTTGTACTTGTATAAGCTTTAAACAGTCTATACTTTCTACCAGCAGAGAAACCTTTACTTCACTCTTCAGAATTGTATCAATCATTGTTTACTATCTTGGTCTTTTTGTTCAGCTTGCTTGTTATGTAATATTGTAAAATTTAATCATTTACTATATTTTATATATAATATTAGGTGTACTTTTAAAGAATAATTTTTAAACTATTTTACCTACAGGAATCCTTGTTTTGTGTTTGTTAGAGGATCTGAATGATAGATGATAATGGCTCTTAGAAGAAATTTCACCTTGTATTAATTAATATCACATAGTTTCTAGTTTTTCTTTTTAAAATTATCACATAGCGGGCTCTTGATAAAAATGGTTGATTAAATCATATTCAATTACTAGTGTCCATCTACTTGAAAACTTGGATATTTTAATAGTTAAAAATTGTTTTAAAATGTATCTATTTTATTTTAAGGTTTGGTATGAATTTGTTTCTAAAACCAGTTATCCCAATAAAATACTAAGTCCTTGGTGATCTTTATAACTTAAAAGGTAATTTATTTTATCATTACTACTGCTAGTAATAGCTCTAATTTTTTTGAGCATCTAATGTGTGCTAGACATAGTCCTAAGTACTTTAGTATTAGTGCACTATCTTCACTACTCCCCTAACAGATATACAGATGTGTGTGAAGCATTATATCCATTCATAGATGAAGAAACTGAGGTTCAGGAAGATCAAGATTCTCACATATGACTCCCATCTAACTCCAGATTCAGTATTCTTTTCATGATGCTTTAAAGAGCATTTTTCATGGTGCATCCAAATTACTGATGTTTACTTGGGAAATACATGCATATTAAATTGATTTCATTTAAAACTAAGAAAAGTTTTCTGGAATAGGAAACCTAGTAAAAGTTATGAAAAGATAAAAAAAAACTAAATTAAACATCAGTAGTTTCAGGTTAATAACAGTATGAGTAATTTGATTAAAATAATTATTTTTTTAATATGAGAAAAGAGAAAAAAGCCAGAATATATGAATAAATAATATTAGCATTTCATCTTTGCCTGTCAACACTGCAAATAAGCATTTATTTTGAGAAAGACAACTCCTTCTCATTTTCATTGATAATTTTAAAAGTAGATATGGAGGTATTGGCCATTTGGAAATTCAAAAGGCTATTTCATTGTTGTTTTTGTTTGTTGGTTTGTTTAAGGATCAAGTTGCTGGTGAATGTATTACAGAGAAAGAGGACAGAATCCACTCAGGTTTACAGCCACAGATCTCTGGATCTGAACCTTCCCTGTCTCGACAGCGACGGCAGAAGAAAAGAGAACAGACTGAACACAGTGAGGAAAAGAGACAGGTTGGCCGAGATCTCTTTGGAATAAGTCGTTGTGCTGTTGCTTGTGAAATAGACTTTAGGAAGCTCAATTTCTGTTGAGAATGGTTAACAGTTGCCACAAAAGGCACACAAGAAATGCAAGGAACGTGTGGAGAAGGGTGATGATGGCAAGATGCTAAATATTAGTTTTCAAGTATCAGTAAGTTGGAAGCAGAGTAAGGATTTTATCTTCCCCAGCAAAGATAGGGATCATCTTGAGAGTTAAAGGAACAGGCTAACAAGGGTAAAGCTTTGATCCTTCCTGTTATATTGAAGAAAAATTTCTCCCTTCTGCATAAAATCATGTTGACACCTCATTTCTTTTTTTCTTTAATGAGACATTACACCTCATTTCTTGAAGTAACTTTCATAGGTACCCTCTTATAAGCTTCTTAGCTGGTTAGTCACTTTTGGCAGAATTTTTTTCCCCAAAAATTCAGTGTTTTAAAGTTTTCGAGAGCAAATCACTGAAAAATATATAGGAGACTTACTGACGGGGGAACTTTGGAGGTGGGTTATCATCATAGGAAGCTGATAATCTCCCCCTCTTTTTAAATTATTTAAGTTCCAAGAGGCTCCTCCTCAACTTTTGCCTTCTCTTTCTACTGTTGAAAAAGTGGATGTCACAGTGACCCAAAAGGATACTGAAAACCAAAGCAGAGTGGTCACTGGGCCTGTGAATAGTTCGAGGAGCAGTGAGATGTCATCATCAAAGGTTTGTGGGGAGTATATGTTGGATTTTTTTAAACCTTCTTATAAAACTTTTTTGGTTATGAAATCCTACATATATTGTGAAGTTTTATGTTAAAACATTTCAGCCTGGCTTTTTGCCAAACACTGGAAGGGATAGATTTGTGATTCTCAACAGAAGCATTGATTGACATGGACAGATTTTATAGTTCCAGAGATGGTCACTTGTGGTTAACTAAGAAGACTAAGTAGGTTCTGAATGGAAGAAGTGCAAAATTCCCTAATTGCCCTTCCAAAAATGAGTACAGTACTTTCCGAAATGAGGGCTGTGATTAGTCCTTGCTAGTAGCTGTAACCCTATTGCAGACTGATTTCAAATGGACACCGCTTTAAAATGTGCAAAGCCTTTTCCTAGTGCTGTATGATTTATCATCCATCATAGGTATTATAAGAATAGTGAGTAGAAATGGAAATAACTCTGACTTTCTTTAAAAGGATAGACCATTGTCAGCAAGAGAGAGGAGGCGACTAAAGCAGTCACAGGAAGAGATATTCCCCTCAGGTAAAGTTGTTCTATTTCCTTCATCTATTGGAGGTTGTTGCTGTGACTTATGGACATAAGTATTGGTTCTGATTTTGAGGTATTAAGAATTTTCAAGCATCAGTAATACATCTGGGAAACTGATCTGAAGAAATTTTGAAATTTCTTGGTCAAGCTTTTAGAAACAAATCAGCATAGGCTGTTAGACCGGAACTTGTATTATCAGTGGAAGAGGACATTAAAAAAGAGCAAGAGGGCTTCAAGTGACAATAACTCCTGGGATATTTCAGACAGGAAATTGAATGTTTAATTTGTTTCCATGTTCAGAGTTTGCTGGTCAAAGAAGTGCTATCTTATCAGGAATAGAGAGGAAGCGGGGAGAATAGTGCTGCCCGCGGCTGAGGACTGTGATCATTCCTATTACTATTATCTAAAGACAGTATTAGCAGTTTCCATTTATTGAATACTAACTACATGTCATTATGGTAAGCATTTTAAGGGCATTATCTCATTTCATATTTACAGTAACTGTCAAAGGTAGGCAGCATTATTCCTTTTTTGCAGCTGAGGAAACTGATGCTCAGAGGGGTTAAGTATCTTGCACAAGGTCACAGAGCTGGTAGACCTAGAGGTGAGCTTTGAACTGAACTGTCAGATACTAGAGTGATGATTAATATGCTGCCTGAGTTACTTCTAGGCTGGCCCTTACTGGGGTATCTTCCATACACAATGCAAAGCCCTCTTCTGTTGAGGCCAGCCCACAAACAACAGGTGGGGGTGGTCACTTTTTCAGGCCCTTCAGTGAGGAAAGCTTCTCTGAGTGCAACGGGGCCAGGGAAGCCACAAGAAGAAAGCCAGCCCACCCCTGCCCGATGGTTGTCTTCTGACCAAAGCTTTGCTCAGGTACATTACTTGGTTCTAAGGGAAAAGGTGGACATATCTACATTTAGCAAGCCTAATACAGTAAACCTCATAAATGCTAGCTCCATTTACTTCTGGGACAGTGCTGGCTTAAGTTATACTTTTTTACTTTTGATAAGGAAAAGAACTGATCAATAATAATTAAAAGGATTATGTTTGCTTAAGGGAATAAATTTTTCAGGCACTCCTGTAAACAATTGGTAGCCTAGTTAAATACCTTTCTTAGGTAGTCTTTAAAACAAGACTTCCAGAGGGCTTCCACTAGGCAACACTTTGCTTATTCTGCTATGTTACCTATATACCCACCTACCTGGCCAGATTTTAGTCTCACGTGCTCAGTTTCCTGTTTGTGACAAAGTGCCTTACCTTCTCATCTGGTGGCTAAATGGTTAATTGCAAGGTTTCCAACCATGTATTCCAGTTTCTGAATTTATTTTTAAGAACATATTATTTTTTTAAAAATGGAAACTTCCGGCCCTCGAAAGAAATGAAGATTTGTTTCTTTAACAATAGTCTATTATTTAGTTGTTTCACTAATTAAGACAATCCTCTCTATTTCCCAAAATTGTAAGGTTTGCATATAATTATATCAAATAATCCTTAAAACATTTTAACAATGTCTCACAAATGAGCAAACTGAGGTTGCTTTTATTTAGGTGGCATTCTATCTAGTTTAAAATGCTAATATTCCCTATGGTACCAGCCTTCTGCTTAGGAGTTGGAATACCAGAATGTTTCCTTTCCTCTGGAAAGGAAATTTCTTTATAGTTGAGACTTCCAGGGCCTTGTAAAACTTCACCTTCATGTTCCTCAGGCTTCACTTGTGAACTTCATGGGTGAACTGGGACATCATTGGGTAAAGTAACTTCAATTTTTATATCCATTAGTTTCTCCTGTTAAATTGGACATAGGTACACGTTGTATCTAGACATAGCATCTAAGACTGTTTTCATGTATTGCATTCTGGTTGTGTTATGTGGAATTTTGTTTTTCCAAACATTAACAGGAAAGAAAACTCACCCATTGTTTCTCAGAGGAAGAGTTAAGTTCTTCTACAAGTTCAACTGATAAATCAGATGGAGATTCCAGAGAAGGGTAAGGTCTTGTTTTTCTGTCTCCCTTCATAAACTAGTTCTGTTTGAATTAATCCTAAATGTATACTTATAGTAGTATTCAGATCCGTAGTATTGTCATGAATAACATTATAAATGGTTTTTGGTATATGCTAGAACTAAAAATATCTTTCCTAATGAAGATATATCTAATTTTCATTCAGAATTCTTATGAAGGTCTGTGGGTTTATAGTTTTCATCAGATTTGGAAAATTTTTTGGCCTTTATTTCTTTAGATATTTTTTGGACCCCCTCCTGCCTTCTTGAGGATTCTAATTACATGTATATTAATTGTTTAAAGGTATCCCACAAATCATCGATGATGTTCATTTTTTTAGGCATTTTTTCCTGTTTCATTTTTCATAGAATCTGTTGCTATATCTTTGAATTCACTAATCTTTTCTTCTGTAGTGTCTAATCTGTTAATCTCATCCCATGTATGTAACACATTGTACTTTTTATTTTTAGGAGTTCAATTTGGATTTTTTAATTATCTTCCATGCCTCTCCTTAATGTTTAATGCTTTTCTCTACTTTGGACATATGGGATATATTTATAACTATCATTTATAATAGCTTTAACGTCCTTGTCTACTAGTTCTGTCACTTGTGTCACTTTTGAGTCTGTTTCTTTTACCTGTTTTTTTCTCATCACACATGTGCTATTTTCCTGCTGCTTCTCATGTTTGGTATTTTTGACTGGATTCCAGATGTTGTCAGTTTTCTCTTATTAGGAGCTGGCATTTTTATATTTCTTTAAATATCCTTGAGCTTTGTACTTGGATGTAATTAAGTTACTTAGTAATTTAGAAAGAGTTGAGCAGAATTTATACACAGAATCTGGGGCTTCCTCTTTCTGGCTCTCTCCTTTCCAAGATTCCTCTCTCACTTTCTAGTGGCAGTGGTTATCTCAAACTGTGTCCTTTGGTTCTGTAAGCCAGAAAGACTGTGGGTTTTCTGTTGTACTTTAGCTGCCTATAGCCTGCCCGGCTAAAAGGTGTTGACTCCCCTCCAGAATCTTTGCCTTTACATAGTTGATTTTTGTGTTTTGTCCAGAGTTTATACTTGTTATTTGTGGAAGGGTCTGTCTGTAGGCGCATACTTGGCCATTTGGAAGCGGAACTTCCTAAAGACCATTTTGCATATAATTTTTAATGAAAAATTCTCGTGAAGCCAATTAAATAACAAGTGGGATTTTTTTTTTTTTTCCAGGAAAGGTCATACAAATGAAATGAGTGATTTGGTACAATTGATGACTCAGACTCTAAAACTGGACTCTAAAGAGAGCTGTGAAGATCTCCCAGTGCCAGATCCAGTGTCAGAATTTAAACTTCATCGGAAGTATCGGGACACGCTGATTCTTCATGGGAAAGTAGCGGAAGAGGCAGAGGAGCTCCAGTTTAAAGAGCTACCTTTAGGTGATCAGTTTATTCTTTTACAGCAAACTGGAGAGTATATGTTTATTGGAGAAAAGTGTCAAACCAAGGAGATAATGCTTGCAAAATTTTTTGTCTTTTTATTATTTTGCTTGGATATCTCTGTATGAGGTGTATCTTATTTTATGTAACAGTGTGTTCCTGAAAAGTTGTATGTAATTTTTATAGATTAAAGGTTTGTGGCAATTTTGCATTGAGCAAGTCTGTGTGGCACCAGATGATGGTTAGCATTTTTTAGTAGTAAAGGATATTTTAATTAAGGTGTATACGTTGTTTTTTTAAAAACATAATACTATTGCATACTTAATAGACTAAAGTATAGTGTAAACATAACTTTTATATGTACTGGGAAACCAAAAAATTTGTGTTACTCATTTTATTGTGGTAGTCTGGAATCACACCTGCAATATCTGTGTATACATTTTTAGTCATTAAAAATACATCACATCATTAAACTAAACTCTTGTCAAAGTGAAAAGAATCTTAACATGACAAGATTTTGTTTTTTAAAACATTGCATTCTTCTTGCTACAGTGGTGAAAGTATTTATTTTCCCCTGTCTTTGTTATTGCTTTTTAGTTATTGTGCCAGGTTCCGAAAAGATCAGAAGAATAGTTGAAGTCTTAAGAGCTGATGTAATCCGGGGCCTGGGGATTCAGCTTTTAGAGCAGGTGTATGATCTTTTGGAAGAAGAAGATGAATTTCAGAGAGAGGTGAGTATCCCATTAGCTGTGTCAGCTGCTTGTGCTATAGCATTTTTTTAAACAGTCTTAACATACTATACATTTTACCTATCTAAAGTGTACAATTCAATGGTTTTTAGTATTTTTCAGAGTTATACCACCATCACTACATTAAATGTTAGAGCATTTAATTACCCCAAAAAGAAACCCTCTACCCATTGGCAGCCCCTCGCCATTATCCCCAAAGCAGCTACTAATATTTCTGTCTCTAGATTTGCCTATTTTGGATATTTCATTTAAATGGAATCATACAAAATACGTGGTCTTTTTTGATTAGCTTCTTTCACTTAGCATAATGTTTTCAAGATTCATCCACGTTGTAGCATGTATCACATACATCATCCCTTTCTATGGCCAGATAATAGTCTGTTGTATGGCTGTATCACATTTTGTTTATCTCTTTATTAGTTGATGAACATTTAGATTGTTTCCATTTTTTGACTATTATGAATAATGCTGTTATGAACATTCATGTACAAGTTTTTGTGTGGACATATGTTTTCATTTTTCTTGGGTATCTACCTAGTTGTGGAAATTGCTGAATTATATGAAAAGTCTATGTTTAACATTTTGACAAATGGCCAGACTGGTTTTCAAAGCGGCCGCACACTTTTACATTCTCAGTAGTGCGTGAGGATTCTAATTTCTCCACATCCTTGCCAACACTTGTTATTGTCATCATTTTGATTATAGGTATCCTAGTGGGTAGGGAATGATTTCTTATTATAGTTTTGATTTACTTTTCCCTAATAGGTAATAAATGTAGAGCATCTTTCACGTGCTTATTGGCCATTGTATATATTTTTTGGAGACATCTATTCTGATCTTTTACACATTCTAAAATTACTGTTTATCTTTTTATTATTAAGTTATAAGAGTTTTTTATATATTCTGGTAGAAGTCCTTTATCATATACATGATTTGCAAAAATTTCTATTCTGTGGTTGTTTTTTCATTTTGTAATGGCATTATTTCCAGCACAAAAGGTTTTAATTTTGTTGCAGTCTAAGGTATCTATTTTGTTTTTGTTTTTTGTGCTTTTGGTGTCATATCTAAGAAGGCTTTGCTGAACTTAAGATCACAAAGATTTATTCCTATGTTTTCTTCTCAGACTTTTATCATTTAAGCTCTTACAATTAGGCCTATAATCCATTTTTAGTTAATTTTTTGTATTTTGTGAGGAAGGGCTCCAATTTCATCCTTTTGCATGTGAATATTCAGTTGTCCTAGCACCATTTGTTGAAAAGGCTATTCTTTTCTTATTGAATTGTCTTGGCACCTTGTTGAAAATCAATTGACTGTGATGTATGGGTTTATTTCTAGACTCTCAATTATATTCCATTGATTTATATGTCTGTGCTTAGTCTGTACTACACTGCTTGATTATTGTGGCTTTGTAGTAAGCTTCATAGTAAGCTTTGAAATCAGAAAGCATGAATCTTCATCTTTGCCCTTCTTTTTCAAGATTATTTTGGATATCATTTGTATTTCCATGTAAATTTTAGGATTAATTTGTTAATTTCTGTAAAAATGCCAGGTGGGATTTTGATTAGGATACTATAGAATTTTGTTTTGAATAAATTTTAGTTTGATGCACCTGACTTTTCTGCTTGAAGTTCCTGTTGTTATACTGAAATATTTTTCTTTTTGAGAGATTCATTATATATGTACCCAGATTTGAAAGTAAACAATAAGGCATGTATATGTAACACAAGCAATTCTATACTAATTTAAAAAATTTTTTGTCTTTCCTTATCTAAATAAAAAGCTAATAAGACATGATTGTTGTAGAACATTTAGAACATACAGACTTTTTAAAAATTAGTATAATCTTAGCACTCAGTGATTCTAGATTTTGTTCTATCATTCATAAGTAGTAGTAGTAGCAGCACTTAAAAAGTGCAACACAAGGTTCTAAGCACTTTACATGTATTAAGTCATTTAAATCTCCGACGATCCAGTGAAGTTGGTACTGGTATCCCCATTTTACAGAGGACTCTCTTTGCACAGACAGGTTAAATGAGTTGCCCAAAATCTCGCTGTTCACAATCGACTGAACGATTCACCTTTAGTGCAGATAGTCTGATTCCAGAGTTCATGTTCTTAAGCACTGTTCTATACTGCCTTTCATTCTCTTATACATATGTATGTAGTTTGTATATTCACACATCCATCACATCCATATCATAGCTTTTTTTTCTAACAAAACAGCGTTATACTATTTACAGTTTTGTAGCCTTTATTTTTTGCTTAACAAAAAGCTCAGAAACAGAGCTCAGAAACAGAGCCAGCTCCTAGTAGTAACAGTCACTCCTGATCGTTCCTGTGCTTTTAAGGCCATTGCTCTTTTCCTGGTCTCCCAGAGCTAATTCCTAATTGTGATGAACAATCATAATTCATGTTATACAGATTCTTTCCCATTGCATTATGTCACATCTGCATTATGAAAATTTTCAGAGTGGTAGAAGTACCTGAACAAACACTTTCTTGACTAGTTGCTCTTTTTGGATATTTATGTTCTGGGTTTTTATTTATTTATTTTTTTGGTAATAATAACAATAACAACAATGAAGCTTTAAATTCCTAGAAATACAGTTGCTTCTCTACCAATTTAATAATAAATGATATCCAAGTGTTATTTTAATTTTCTATTTTGATATAATTTCAGACTAATAGAAATGTTGCAAACATAGTAAAAAGAGTTCCTGATATTCCTCATCTGTATTTTCCAGTGTTACTATTCTACCATTTTTCCTTTATCATTCTCTTTTTTCATATGTATAATTACTTTTTTTATCAATTTGTAAGAAAGTCCTTTTACCTCTGAATTCTTTGGTGTATTTCCTAAAAGCAAGAATATTTTCTTACACAACTACAATACAGTTATCAAACTCAGAAAATTAACATTGATACAATTGTCTAATCTAAGTCTATAGACCTTATTTAAATTTCACTTATTATTACACTAATATCCTTTACAGGAAAAGAAAAAAAAATTTTCTGTGATTTAATCAATTTAACTCAATCAGGATTGAATTCAATAAGGATTTTATATTTCTAATAGCTTTAATGAGATATAATTCATATACCATGCAATTTACCCATTTAAAGTATATACTTCAGTAGTTTTTAATATATTCACAAATATATGCAACTATCACCACAGTTAATTTTAAATATTTTTGTCTCTTAAAAAGAAACCTTGTACTTTTACTTTATTGGCTCTCTCTTCTCTTTTCCCTCCAGTCCTAAGGAACCACTGATCTACTTTTTGTCTTATAGATTTATCTATGCTAGACATTTCATTTAATGGAATTATACAAAATATATGTATTTTGTGACTATTCTCACTTAGCATAATGTTTTCAAGGTTCATCCGTGTAGTAGCATATATCAATTTTTCATTCCTTTTTATGGATGAACAATATTCCATTATATTGATATACAGTAGTCCCCCCTCCTTACTTACAGTTTCACTTTCTGTGGTTTCAGTTACCCACAATCAACTGTGGTACAAAAATATTAAATGAAAAATTCCAGAAATAAACAATTCATAGGTTTTAAATTGCATGCCATTCTGAGTAGCATGATGAAAACTCACACCATCCTGGTCTCTTCTGCCCAGGATGTGAATCATCCCTTTGTCCAGCATATTAATGCTTTACATTTAGTAAAATAAGATATTTTGTGAGAGAGTGAGACCACATTCACATAACTTTTATTATAGTATGCTATAATTGTTCTATTTTATTACTTATCATTGCTAATCTCTTAACTGTGGCTAATTTATAAAATAAACTTTATTTTAGGTATGTATATATAAGAAAAAATATAGTATTCATAGGATTTTGTTCTGTCCATGATTTCAGGCATCCGCTGGGGGGTTTGGAACATATCCCCCACAGATAAAGGGGAATACTGTACCAAATATGCTTATCTATTCTTCAGTTGATGGACATTTGGTTTTCCACCTTTTGCCTATTATGAATAGTATTGGTATAAACTTTTGTGTGGATTCAGTTCTCGGGTGCATAACTGGGAGTGGAATTGCTGGGTCATATGGTAATTCTACATTTAAATGTTTGAGGAGCTTCCAGACTGGTTTCCAAAGCAGCTGTACCTTTTTACATTCCTACTGGAAGCATAATAGGGTTCTGATTCCTTCACATCCTCACCAACACTTATTTATTATCTGACTTTTTGATTATAGCTATCCTAGCAGGTCCGAAGCAGTATTTATTGTGGTTTTGATTTGCAGTTCTCTGGTGACTAATGATGTTGAATATTTTGTCATGTACTACTTATCATGTGTATATTTTCTTTGGAGATATGTGTACTCAAATTCTTTGTACATTTTTTAATGGTTATTTTTTAATTATCGAGTTTTTAGGAGTTCTATATATATCCTAGATGCAAATCTCTTATTAAATATATGATTTGCAAATATTTTCTCCCGTTCTGTGGGAATGGGAGAGTCTTTTTATTTTGATAGTGTTCTTTGAAACAAACAGCTTTTTTATTCCAATGAAGTCCAATTTACTTTTCTTTTGCTTCTTGTGTTTTTGGTGTCCATTGCCAAATCCAAGGTCATGCAGTTTTACGCCTATGTTTTTTTCTAAGAGGTTTATAGTGTTAGTCCTCACATTTAGGTCTTTGATGTATGTTACATTATTTGTTTATATATAGTATGAAGTAAAGGTCCAGCTTTATTCTTATGTATATGGATGTCCTTTTGTCTTACCACCATTTGTTGAAAAGACTGTTCTATCACCTTGTCAAAAAAAAGTTAAAGACACATGGGTTTATTTTTGGACACCCAGTTCTATTCCATTAATCTATATGTCTGTCCTTATGCAGGTACCATGCTATCTTGTTTACTGTTGCTTAGTAGTAAGATTTGAAATTGGGATAGGTGAGTCCTCCAACTTTGTTATTCTTTTTTTCGAGATTCTTTTGGCTATTCTGGGGCT